GACAGTGGGGGGGGGGGGGGGGGGGGCGTCAATTTTTGTGTTGCCCAGGGCAGCACAAAACATAAATACATCGCTGTGTACTTCGTGGGGTTTTTAATTTTAGCAAATGACTTCTGGTTGCCCCTTATTGGTAATGGGGAGTCTGAGATTCCAAGAAGCCCCCATCCTGAAGCCCCCACAACCACTGGACAGGGTTGAGGGGAAGAGGTCCTCTTCAACATGGGGACAAAATGATCAGCCAGTAAGGTATCCCCCCACATGTGTTGGTGGCATGTGGGGGGGTCACATGCTTGTCTCCCCTTTCCTGGACTAGGCTGCATGCTCAGATTATGTGTTTCTAAGGGGACCTCATGCATTTTTTTTTTGGTCCTTGATGACCTCATTTTTTTTTTTTTTGTTGCGTGGAGCCCCCCCCCCCCCCTTTAAGGTCTGCTATTGATGTCCTTGATGACCTCATGCACTTTTTTTTGTTACGTGGAGCCCCCCCCCCCCTTTAGGATCTGCTATTGATGTCCTTGATGACCTCATGCATTTTTTTTTTTTGTTGCGTGGAGCCCCCCCCCCCTTTAGGGTCTGCTATTGATGTCCTTGATGACCTCATGCATTTTTTTTTTGTTGCGTGGAGCCCCCCCCCCCCCCCCCCTTTAGGGTTTGCTATTGATGTCCTTGATGACCTCATGCATTTTATTTTTGTTGCGTGGAGCCCCCCCTCTTTAGGGTCTGCTATTGATGTCCTTGATGACCTCATGCATTTTTTTGTTGTTGCGTGGAGCCCCCCCCCCCCCTTTAGGGTCTGCCGTTAATGTCCTTGATGACCTCATGCACTTTTTTTTGTTGTGTGGAGCCCCCCCCCTCTAGGGTCTGCTATTGATGTCCTTGATGACCTCATGCACTTTTTTTTGTTGCGTGGAGCCCCCCCCCCCTTTAGGGTCTGCTATTGATGTCCTTGATGACCTCATGCATTTTTTTTTTTGTTGCGTGGAGCCCCCCCCCCCCTTTAGGGTCTGCTGTTGATGTCCTTGATGACCTCATGCACTTTTTTTTTGTTACGTGGAGCCCCCCCCCCCTTTAGGGTCTGCTGTTAATGTCCTTGAAGACCTCATGCATTTTTTTGTTGTTGCATGGAGCCCCCCCCCCCTTTAGGGTCTGCTATTGATGTCCTTGAAGACCTCATGCATTTTTTTGTTGTTGCGTGGAGCCCCCCCCCCCCCCCACCCTTTAGGGTCTGCTATTGATGTCCTTGAAGACCTCATGCATTTTTTTGTTGTTGCGTGGAGCCCCCCCCCCCTTTAGGGTCTGCTATTGATGTCCTTGATGACCTCATGCACTTTGTTTGTGGGGATCCCCTCTTCAGATCTACACCAGACTCACGGGGTCCGATATGCATTTGGGGGGTCTATGCAGCTCTTTTTCATCCAGGATGAGCTCAGGAAGTGCTTAGAATTGCCAGTAAATGACATTTCATTGCAAACTTCTTTTGGAAAAAAAACCCCACACAGACCCCTCCGAAGGTCCCCCATGATGAGCTCTGGGTTAAGGTCGACTATGAGGTTCAATTGAACCCTTCTGTAAACAGGTGAACGCTCTGCCCAGGTTTCGGCATTTCACCCACCCAAATATCCAGTGGAATTCTCGGTATAGTATCGTCCTTCATACCTGATGCTGCGTGGTTTCTGGCTGTTGCTGCTGGAGGACGCCTCGCCGTTTGATGCGGAAGTCGGCTATATCATGTCTTTATAAAGCTTAGTTTCGTTTCTCAGCTCTGCCACCAGATCCCCCATCCCCCACCCTCCTGTCCCTCCATTGTGTACCATGCTCAGACTTTGCTCTGTTCTGGCATGCCGCTTGGTGAGGTTACACAACATGTCCAAAATAAACACACCAACATCTACAAACACCCTTCCCTAAAGTCCCGGATTGGAATCGTGGGCAGAATCTCACAAACCTGCCTGTGACTCCAGAATCACGGCAAAATGCGCAATGAGGTGCGCTTATTTCTTACGTGCACCCCAACTGTGGTGCGATTTCACCGCAACCGACGCGTGACAAAAATCACAGCAAAACGCACCGGGCTCTGTGCCAGAATCTGGCATATGAGCTCCTTTGGAGAGGGAAGCCGTTCAATATGAATGGTGTCGCTGCAAAAGTGCATCATGAAAACACACAAAAAATGCACGAAAAACACAACGCAGAAGCATCGCTCTGGTGTGAACGGGAGGAGCAGAAACCCTTCACTTTGGAAATGTTAGTAAAGAGGGTGGAGTTCAGTTTGAACATCCAATCGTGTGCCAGGAAATGACGCCAGCAGGATTCTTTGCAAAGGCATGATTGGGTATTACAAGTGAGCACAGCTTCTCCTTATGTCTTAAAGCTGAACTCTGGGCATAAAAGCAAAAAAAAAACGTATTCCTCAATAGTCACAAATGATATAAATCCACTGTATGTGCTCTAAATGTCTTTGCAAACTCAGATAATACCTTGTGAAAGTAGCAGTGACATCACCCCTGTGCTGTGCATAGCCTGTGCAGACAGCAGAGCTGTGGGAGGGGCTCAGCAGGCTCCACCCACTAGCTGCTGTCTACCTACAGAAGAGGGCGGAGAGAAGACCAATCCCCCTGCACAAGGAGAAAAAGCAGAGCTGTGGGAGTGGCTCAACAGCTCCACCCACTACAAGCTGCCTACAGAAAACTGCAGAAGGGGGCGGAGACAAGACCAGTTATCCTGCACAAGTAGAGAGAGCAGACTTGTGGGAGTGGCCCAGCAGACTCCACCCACTGCAGAAAATTACAGGAGGGGGCAGAGACAAGACCAGTCATCCTGCACAAGGAGGGAGCAGAGCTGTGGGATGGGTCCTTCAGGCTCCACCCACTACAAGCTGCCTACATAAAACCACAGGAGGGGGCGGAGACAAGACCAGTCACCCTGCACAAGTAGAGAAAGCAGAGCTGTGGGAGTGGCCCAGCGGAATCCACCCACTATAGAAAAATACAGGAGGGGGCGGAGACAAGACCAGTCACCCTGCACAAGTAGAGAAAGCAGAGCTATGGGAGTGGCCCAGCAGACTCCACCCATTACAGAAAACTACAGGAGGGGGCGGAGACAAGACCAGTCACCCTGCACAAGTAGAGAAAGCAGAGCTGTGGGAGTGGCCCAGCACACTCCACCCATTACAGTAAAATACAGGAGGGGCGGAGACAAGACCAGTTACCCTGCACAAGGAAAGAGGGCAGAGCTCTGGGAGTGGCCCAGCAGACTCCACCCATTGCAGAAAACTACAGGAGGGGCGGAGACAAGACCAGTCACCCTGCACAGGTAGAGAAAGCAGAGCTGTGGAAGTGGCCCAGCAGACTCCACCCATTACAGAAAACTACAGGAGGGGCGGAGACAAGACCAGTCACCCTGCACAAGGTGGGAGCTGAGCTGTGGGAGTGGCCTATAAGACTCCACCCACTACAGAAAACTACAGGAGCGGTCGGAGACGAGACCAGTCATCCCACACAAGGAGAGAGGGCAGAGCTGTGGGAGTGGTCCAGTAGGCTCCTCCCACCACAGGCTGCCTGCTGGAAACTAAATAAGGGAGTGGAGACAAGACCAGTCACCCCGCACAAGGAGAGAGAGAGCAGAGCTGTGGGAGGGGCCCAGTAGTCTCCACCCACTGCAAAAACCAACAGGAGGCGTGGAGACAACACCAGTCCCCCGGTAACACTCACTTGGACAAGTGACCGGCCTCTACTGCTTCAGCAAACCAAAACCTTTTGTGGTCATGTCTCCTGAGAACACTGGATCCTAACCAAGCCTATGGTGTCCCAAACCACGCCCACATTATGGGTTGGTCCTGTCAGAGACTTCAGCTCTGAGGAAATAATCCGTCTACAATTTCTGAAAACAGGCGGGATCTGGAATGAAGGAGATTCCCTACTGATCTTCATGAATCAACTGATATCCGAGGTCTTTATTTGCACTAATTTGAAAACGAAATAAGAAGCAATAATGTGCAAAAATATCTATTTCCTAATAATAACAATCAGTGCAAAATGATGAAATCTAATAGGTGAGGATCAATAATAATCAATTCAGAGTAACAGAACGATCATCCAATATAATGATTAGATATTCAAACCAGCAATGACTTCCAAATATCGCAGCGTAGGGGGACCGATCAATAACTCCGCAACATGTGACAACGACTACACCAATCGTCCCCGTGATCTCCCTACAACCAGATATTCACAGCTCATCGAGTACCTCGGCATGATCAGGAATACCATACACAGGCCAATCCAATCAGCGTAGGGACCGATCAATAACTGCGCAACGTGACAACGACTACACCAATCGTCCCCGTGATCTCCCTACAACCAGATATTCACAGCTCATCGAGTACCTCGGCATGATCAGGAATACCATACACAGGCCAATCCAATCAGCGTAGGGATCGATCAATAACTCCGCAACATGTGACAACGACTACACCAATCGTCCCCGTGATCTCCCTACAACCAGATATTCACAGCTCATCGAGTACCTCGGCATGATCAGGAATACCATACACAGGCCAATCCAATCAGCGTAGGGACCAATCAATAACTCTGCAACGTGACAACGACTACACCAATCGTCCCCGTCATCTCTCTACAACCAGATATTCACAGCTCATCGAGTACCTCGGCATGATCAGGAATACCATACACAGGCCAATCCAATCAGCGTAGAATCTATGTGAGGTCAGTTGTTACACTAAGTTGTCTTCTTTGTCATATATATATATCCGGCCAAACCATTGACTAGCCGCTTCCCGACCGCCCGACTGCTGAAGTACTGCTACAGGGCGTCAGGGCTGCGCAAAATCACACTTATATACGTAACTTTGTATTTCCGGGTAGGGGGGCGTGCGCCCGGCATCGGCGGCTTCAGCTATCAATCACCGGAGATTCCCCACCGGCACCCGCCGATCACTGAGGAACACTGACGGGGGAGTGGTCTGTTTGTAGACAATACAGATCTTTCCCCTGTCAGCTCCTGCACACTGCTTTGCATGGCTCTGCATAGCCGAGCCATACAAAGCAGATGATCTACATAGTAAAACATACACAGTTAACCCTTTGATCGCCCCTCATGTTAACCCCTTCCTGCCCAGTGCCATTAGTACAGTGTCGGGGCTTTTTATTAGCACTGATCACTGTATTGGTGTCACTAAGGATGTCAGTGGTAGTTAGTCAGTTCCCCCCCCCCAGTGTCAGAATGCCACCGCAGTCCCGCTATAAGTCGCTGATCGCCGCCATTACTAATATATATATATATATGTACCTCGGATAATATAATTTTCAGTTTACAAATGAAAATCCATTGACTATAACGCCTCGGTTTACAAATTGTTTCGCAATATGAAGTTATGAATGCGCTGATTTTTAAATGTAATTACTGGGTTTTTTTTTCTTCACTATAGCTCACAGAATTAGCTGTCACTTTCCCCCAAGCTAAAGGAAACTTTGTTTCTTTTATCTCGGGAAATAAACTAAAAGGAAACTTTGTTTCTTTTATCTCGGGAAATAAACTAAAAGGAAACTTTCTTTAACTCGGGAAATAAACTAAAAGGAAACTTTATTTAACTCGGGAAATAAACTAAAAGGAAACTTTCTTTAACTCGGGAAATAAACTAAAAGGAAACTTTGTTTCTTTTATCTCTGGAAATAAACTAAAAGGAAACTTTCTTTAACTTGGGAAATAAACTAAAAGGAAACTTTGTTTCTTTTATCTCTGGAAATAAACTAAAAGGAAACTTTCTTTAACTCGGGAAATAAACTAAAAGGAAACTTTCTTTAACTCGGGAAATAAACTAAAAGGAAACTTTGTTTCTTTTATCTCGGAAAATAAATTAAAAGGAAACTTTGTATCTTTTAGCTGGGGGGGGGAAAGTGACAGCTGATTCTGTGAGCTATAGTGAAGAAAAAAAAAAAATCCGGTAATTACATTTAATTGTCCATCATTGCCACTTTACAGGGGTGGTCCTGCCTGTAGATATGAAGGAACTCGTGGTCCTGATTCCCACAATTATGCCTTTTCCTAGGTAACTGAAATAAGGGTGATGCTACGATTCCAGGACAGGGCCCCGGTCACAGCACTGGGAGAGGCAGAGCGCTGAGATGCCGGACTGTCCTGGCAAATCTGGGACAGTTGCCACTTACTCTTGGTTCGCACAAATGCGGTTTTTTTAGTGCTTTGTGCATTTTTCAGAAACACACTACAGTCCCTTTGTCCTAGTCCTATGGATCCAGTTCACACCTGTGGGTCTTGATTTGCTGCATTTTTTTGAAAAGGGTCGGGGACTCTTTTTTCCTGCAGCTGATTTAGTTTTGTGTGTAATAGACTTCAATGGACACGTACCAAAAAAACAGAAGTGTTGCGTTTTTTTAATGCTTTTTTTCATGCGTTTTGCTTTTTTTTTTTTAAATTTGTCTAATAGGGAAGTACGACAGTTCTGTTCATGCAGTGCGACTTTAAACGGACTTTGATGTGACTTTACACTCTCTGGCACTCAAATAGCATCAAAGTGGTGCTGGAACCTTTATGTGTCCAAAGTCGCATGTCAGGGTTAGGGTTAGAGATAAGATCAGGGTTAGGGTTAGAGATAAGATCAGGGTTAGAGATAGGATCAGGGTTAGGGTTAGAGATAGGATCAGGGTTAGGGTTAGAGATAAGATCAGGGTTAGGGTTAGAGATAAGATCAGGGTTAGAGATAGGATCAGGGTTAGGGTTAGAGATAGGATCAGGGTTAGGGTTAGAGATAAGATCAGGGTTAGGGTTAGAGATAGGATCAGGGTTAGGGTTAGAGATAGGATCAGGGTTAGGGTTAAAGATAAGATCAGGGTTAGGGTTAGAGATAAGATCAGGGTTAGAGATAGGATCAGGGTTAGGGTTAGAGATAGGATCAGGGTTAGGGTTAGAGATAAGATCAGGGTTAGAGATAGGATCAGGGTTAGGGTTAGAGATAGGATCAGGGTTAGGGTTAGAGATAGGATCAGGGTTAGGGTTGGAGATAAGATCAGGGTTAGGGTTAGAGATAGGATCAGGGTTAGGGTTAGAGATTAGATCAGGGTTAGGGTTAGAGATAGGATCAGGGTTAGGGTTAGAGATAAGATCAGGGTTAGGGTTAGAGATAGGATCAGGGTTAGGGTTAGAGATTGGATCAGGGTTAGGGTTAGAGATAGGATCAGGGTTATAGATAAGATCAGGGTTAGGGTTAGAGATAAGATCAGGGTTAGGGTTAGAGATAGGCTCAGGGTTAGGGTTAGAGATAGGATCAGGGTTAGGGTTAGAGATAGGATCAGGGTTAGAGATAGGATCAGGGTTAGGGTTAGAGATAGGATCAGGGTTAGGGTTAGAGATAAGATCAGGGTTAGGGTTAGAGATAAGATCAGGGTTAGGGTTAGAGAAAAGATCAGGGTTAGGGTTAGAGAAAAGGTTAGGGTTAGAGAAAAGATCAGGGTTAGGGTTAGAGAAAAGATCAGGGTTAGGGTTAGAGATAAGATCAGGGTTAGAGATAGGATCAGGGTTAGGGTTAGAGATAGGATCAGGGTTAGAGATAGGATCAGGGTTAGGGTTAGAGATAGGATCAGGGTTAGAGATAAGATCAGGGTTAGGGTTAGAGATAGGATCAAGGTTAGGGTTAGGGATAAGATCAGGGTTAGGGTTAGAGATAAGATCAGGTTTAAGGTTAGAGTTTGGGTTAGGATTAGGTTTAGCGGTAGTTTTTAGGGTTAATTATTGCTATGCCGAACCTTAACCCCTTCACTCCTGAGGGTAAAACAAATCTAAATGCCTAATCACAATTCTGCAACATTGACACATTAGTAAAACTGTCCGTATCATCATAACTATTTTGTACATCCAGGTGGATTATAGCGCTTTTTTTCAGGACAAATTGGGCTTTCATTTGGTGGTAAATGGAAATGGATATCTTCTGATTTTTTTTATTATCAAAAGAAAACTGGCCCAAAATAGTAAAAAAAAAATTTTTTTTAATTTAGCTGTTTGTTTCTTGTTACTACCATAACCTACCACCAAAGAAAAACCCCAAATTCTCCAGCTCTTGGCGATCGCAGCGATACCATAGATGGATGTTATTTGGTGTTTGTACCCGGAGTACAGCCCAGAAACTATAGTGCACTTTTTGTTTTTGTCTTTTCTTACCTAAAACACACTGACATTGACACTAACTGACACTGATACCAATTTTTTTTTTCAAAATCCTGACCTTTGACCCTGACTTTTTGACCTTGACATTTGACCCTGACCTTGATCCAAACCCTGGCATTGAACTAGATTAAACCTTGACCTAGGTATTTTTTTCTTCTTTTTTTATTTTATGTTTTGATATTTATTTATTAATCTTTTTTTTTTTTTTTTTTTTACAAAAAATTTTACCCTCTATGCCAGGAGTTAGAGAGATACAATGTATCTTTCATAGTTACATAGTTAGTCTGGCTGAAAAAAGATAAAAGTCCATCCAGTTCAACCATAGAAAAAAAAAGTTATAATCCTACACCCACAGCTAATCCAGAGGAAGGCAAAAATCCCAGCAAAGTACGATCCAATCTGCTCCTGCAGGGGAAAAATTCCTTCCTGATTCCCCGAGAGGCAATCGGATATTCCCTGGATCAATAATCGGATATTCCCTGGATCAATAATCGGATATTCCCTGGATCACCTTTCCCTATAAATGTTCTATCCAGTTATATTCTGTGTATCCAAGAAAGAATCCAGGACTTTCCTACAGCAATCCACTGAGCTGGCCACAACCAACTCTGGAGGGAGTCTATTCCACATTCTCACAGCTCTTACTGTGAAGAAACCTTTCCATGTTTGGAGATTACATTTAATTTCCTCCAATCAGAGGCTCTCACAGCGATCATGTGACCCGGAATCGGGAGTACTGGGTCCCGATGGTTAGAACAGGACCTGGTGCTCTCAGTGACACTGCTGTGTGGCGCGCTCCCAGCACAAAGACAGGTACGTGCTGTGCGGCATACTCCCAGCACATACACAGGTGCGTGCTGTGCGGCTCGCTCCCAGCACAAAGACAGGTACTCGCTGTGTGGCTCGCTCCCAACACAAAGACAGGTACGGGCTGTGCGGTGCGCTCCCAGCACAAAGACAGGTACGTGCTGTGCGGCGCACTCCCAGCACAAAGACAGGTACGTGCTGTGCGGCGCACTCCCAGCACAAAGACAGGTAAGCGCTGTGCGGCGCACTCCCAGCACAAAGACAGGTACGCGCTATGCGGCTCGCTCCCAGCACAAAGACAGGTACGGGCTGTGCGGCGCACTCCCAGCACAAAGACAGGTACGTGCTGTGCTGTGCGGCGCGCTCCCAGCACAAAGACAGGTACGTGCTGTGCTGTGCGGCGCGATCCCAACACAAAGACAGGTACGGGCTGTGCGGCGCACTCCCAGCACAAAGACAGGTACGGCTGTGCGGCTCGCTCCCAACACAAAGACAGGTACGGGCTGTGCGACGCACTCCCAGCACAAAGACAGGTACGTGCTGTGCGGTGCCCTCCCAGCACAAAGACAGGTACGTGCTGTGCGGCGCGCTCCCAGCACAAAGACAGGTATGTGCTGTGCGGCGCGCTCCCTGCACAAAGACAGGTACGTGCTGTGCAGCTCGCTTCCAGCACAAAGACAGGTACGGGCTGTGCGGCGCATTCCCAGCACAAAGACAGGTATGTGCTGTGCGGCTCGCTCCCAGCACAAAGACAGGTACGCGCTGTGCGGCTCGCTCCCAGCACAAAGACAGGTACGGGCTGTGCGGCGCATTCCCAGCACAAAGACAGGTACGCGCTGTGCGGCTCGCTCCCAGCACAAAGACAGGTACGCGCTGTGCGGCTCGCTCCCAGCACAAAGACAGGTACGGGCTGTGCGGCGCACTCCCAGCACAAAGACAGGTACGTGCTGTGCGGCGCTCTCCCAGCACAAAGACAGGTACGTGCTGTGCTGTGCGGCGCGCTCCCAACACAAAGACAGGTACGGGCTGTGCTGTGCGGCGCGCTCCCAACACAAAGACAGGTACGTGCTGTGCTGTGCGGCGCGCTCCCAACACAAAGACAGGTACGGGCTGTGCGACGCACTC